GAATAATAGCTTTAAAAATTTTTTTTCTTTAAACAAAGACCTAGGTACAGAAAAATGACACTTGCAAAGATTTGGAGTCATAGTTATGTGTCTGAATGCCATGTGAAGGTATGTACAAATGTGTGCTGTTTATAGACCACTATTATTTACCGAACTAGGGTAAAAATATGGAAGCCCTCCCCCCTTCATTCACCATGTGTCAGTCATACCTGGTTGTGGAAAGTGCACCTATATTTTGGCTTCAGAAGCAGCAGTGTATTGCATAATGAACACAGGCAGACAAGACAACAGAATAAATGGCATATACCCCCACCCCCAAATCCACAAAGAATTTCAACCAAATGTGTCATCCCAAAGTAACTCAAAAGCAGTTACTTAATAGGATAATTAAGGGGGGATACTAAACATCTTGAGACAAGATGAGACAAGACTACTCTTATGCCTAAAATTCCTATTGTTAAGAGAAACCCTTTTCTTAAAAGCACGCCTTTAAAATGTAAATGTGTACTAGCAGGGTATTCCACATTATTATTCCATGTCACCTAATGATATCCAAAAGATAAAGGCACAGAGGAAATAAAATGGAAGGTGGGGAAAACTGAGGCATTCTCCATTGTTACTCTCATACACATCATTAAAAAATTCTTTCAGTTAGTTTATAATCTGGGCTCTTAGCCACACACACAAGCTTGCTTGTGGTTTGAGGTTTTTTGGGTCTTTTAAATCACACCTCTGACCAGTCTGTGATATTTTTTAATCAGCACCCATCCTCAGTGTTTGAAAAAAATCTTACATTAACAGAATTAGATATATTTGGAGGAAAGTGGTAAAATCCCAGGTTTGCTTAGCAAAAATAGGGATAGAAAACGCTTCATAATTAGAGCAGCTATCTTGAAGAGAAAAACTTCAGAGATCAAACCTGATTAAGGCTCAACATTTTAAATATCTGAAGTCTAAAAAGACTTTAGTAATTAAAAACAGCTACAAAGTCAAGAATTATCCCCAACAATTAAACTTCGATACCACCTTAGAAAAGGGTCACTTACATAATTTCACAAGACACTTAAATATACTTTGTGGGATTTTATTTAGGTCAAGTTCTTAGTACACAGCAACAATTAATTCCAAATACAATTAAAAAATTAAAAAGTGAATGTTCCCTCACTTATCTGGAGGTGGTTTAATGGCACACACAAGGAACATTCCTGGCAACAGACTGCTCCCTGGAGTTTTCCTGAATGGTTTTTACTCAACTCACGACACCACCAGCTCTCCCTGCGGGAGCTTAAAAAGTACAACTAGCCAGATCACAAATTGTTTACATTCTTTTTTGTAAACCATTTTAAGAAAAATGGTACGTGGACACAAAATATGATTAAAAACTGCTTTCCATAGAATTCTGAAGTTGCAAAAGAGGTTTCATTTTTATGTGAAAATAAGTTTTGTTTTGTTTTGTTTTTTTTATAAAAGACCTTAAGATATTTAGCAAGGATCATTTATACACAACTAGGCCCTGTCGTTTCATTCTTTTTAGAATTATGAGATTCTCAACAAAATAGGAACAAAGATCAGCATAAAGTAAACTTAAAGGTAATGAGCTCAATGCCTCCATTTAATAACTGTTTTATAAGGCTCTCTCAAATAAGGCGGTTTGCTGTGCTGTGCTCCTGCCAGTGTTGAACTAATGTATTTTTACTACACCTTATGGAAAAGTGTTTATGCTAAGTACAGCTTTAGAAGGGGTAAATGAAGATTATTTTCACTAAGGTTGTATTTAAGTACACTCCTTTAAACAACTTAGAGCATTTATCAAACCATGGCATATCTTTTCAAGTATATTCCTGAAAACATCAAGTAGAACTCTTAATTTTTAAAGAAAACTACAGCACATTTAGTTAAGACAGTTGTGGTGCATTGGAAAGAGTACTGGGCATTGAGTCAGGAACTCTACCATTGTAAAACAGCTGTTCATCTGAAACAAAACATCCTGCCTCATCGGTCAAATGAGACCACAAAAATTTTTTAAATCTCATCTAGCTCTAAATATTCTGTGATTCTAAGTAAATCATCTAGGGAAAATTATCACCTTAACACCAATCGGGAGTTCTTAGCCAAGAAGTGAACAGATCCCCATTCTTTTGAAAGACTTGGCAGTCACCTGCCAATTCCTCCATCAAACCCTTTTCAAAGGTAAAGGTGTCCTTCAGACATGCCATGCTCTTTCCACAGAGGAGAAAAGATTATAAAAGTCAAAAGAACAGTTCTTAATGCAGAAAGGTCACTTTGCAAAAGAAAATTAACACAAAAAGATAAAAGCAAACTACCAGGATTTTGATGACTCCCAAACAGAAAAATCTTAAATAATCAACATAAAACTAGCACTACGGAGCACAGCTACAGGACAGATGCTGCAAAGATGCATAAAACATTCTCTCCAGCTGGATAATAAAGAACAGCAAGAGGAAAGAACGGAGGGGTTGAAAATGTCTCACACCCAATGACTTTTAGGAACATTTAGCAAAATTAGCAGACCCTTGCCAGTCCTGAGATGGGAACAGCAGGTGCCTCTGAAGCAGACAGAAAGGAAGTAGTCAGAAGATGGAAAATACTAAACAAGACAGCTTAAAAGATTCATATTTATTCCAAACACAGCAGGCTGAATCTCTCAGGTCTAGATTTTGACATATTGGCACTATCTCTGTTTCCAATTTATTGCCTTGGCCCATAATAAGGTCAAAGACAACAAGAAAGTGTATTTTCGTTTATATCCACATGGACTTTCTAATATTAATACCAAAAAAGAAAAAGACAACTATTCACTCTTTAAAAGAAAAGAAAGGAAGAAAGGGGAGTAGAAACACAATCAAAAAGAAACACTTCAGGAGGAAAGAATGCCCTCTCCCATTATATTCCCTCTATACTGATAAAATGGTTGCTTACTGGTCAGCAGATTTTAGACTCGGGTATCTTTGCTACAATATTAATAGTATGTAGCATGTAAGATTTTCTGCATTCACTTGGAATTCCTAATGCCAACCAACTTGTAGTTTATAAAAAGATAAATGGGGAAAACTTACAATAAAATAGGAAATACTACCCTCACAGACTATTAATAGCATGCAATCTATGAAATATTACATACATTAAAAGTCTCCAATTACTATAGGCCTGGTCCATCATCATTACACAGTATCCTTCCAAGACAATCTACAGAATTCAAAACTGTACAAAAATTAAAAATATGCAGAAAATCCAACAGGTATTGTTTGTAAAACAAAAATCACACACACACACATTAGTACTAAATAATATAGGAAAAAAATCAGCTGACCCATAGATTCCCCCCACTGGTCTTCAGCATAATGGACGTCGGTATCTTCTGCATTCCCAATCCAGCAGGGCTCCAACAGGCAAGCTGCATTCCTGCTCACTGCCACCAACTTTGCTTTCTGCACAGTTGTCTTCTCTGCTTCTGTAGTGATGAGCTGTGGGAACTATTTGTTGACTTTCAAAACACCCTCTGCCTTATTAATCCACTAAGCTGTCTCAGCAAAAAGCTATTATTTAAATAAATAAGTGGAACATTCAATTTTCAAATCAGTTTTCCTAGTTATACACTGGTACTATGAAGAGCTTAACCTAGCCACATGTAGTGTAGTTTGGGTCCATAACGGAACTAAAGGCTCAGAGGACACTGAGGGCTCTTCCGAAGGAAAACAAGGAATGAGGGATGTTGAGGTGACCTAATAAAAGCACGACGTGCAATGTGTGCTGGAGACAAGTGAATGGCAGCTAAATCCCAAGTGCTGGGAAAACCTAAACACAAAATAGCGAATCTAACTTGCAATGTGTTTTTTTAAAAACTACAACTTTAAAACAAAAAAAAAGTCTTGATAAGGAAACTATAGCCGGATCTCAGTTAAATGGTTGACGAAGTTTTATGCTCAAATAACAAATCTGCAAGTGAAATATTAACTTCTGCCTACACTCACTCATCTGCATTTCCTCATATACTACTATACTTGTTCATTTTTCAATCAAGTTCCTCTACCTGCACTGCCCCATCACAACTGAAATGTATGCAGCTATTGCCTTTCCCCTTTAGCATAGCGCAGGGAAGTTACCTGGCAGAGCTCTATTCTGGCCAAGTCACTCGGACCTGGAAGAACCCACACTGGCAGCTCTGGGCCTAACCATGAGCTGGCCCATCAGCACAATATTCACTCACTGAGAAGCAAACCCTCCTGGATTTTTCCATTATTTCTTATACTGATTATAATAGTGATGATTAAAGCCATCTGCCCTACAAACCCCACTGAATTTGAAGCTATAATTATTGTACAGATGGGAGAGGAATATTTTTTATTATTTCTCTCAATTACATTAATTTTTATCAATGTGATTGGGTATTTTAGCCTATTACTCTTATCCCACTATTAAATTCTTAGTCTGAAATATAAGGTTCAAATTCTTACTAAGAGCAGCTACTTCAGAGTTCAATCATAAAATCAGGAGACTATTTACCTTTTCTAGAGTTAAGTGAGTAAAGGACATAGCAGCAACTAACACTGGCCATTAATAACATTCAGAGAGCACAGTAGCAAGCCTTTTATTCCTAAGAACTGTCAAGAGACTTGAAAATAATCACTATTGTCTTCCAAAAAAGAAAAGTATTTTTCTAAATAATGAAAGAAGTGATAGTAACAGTTGGCCTGACCTTCAAGATCCTACTCCTCAAAACAACACTTGAGGCAAGGGTTCAGGATGCCTGTTGATGAGTACATTTCTATGATTCAGTCTCTTTAGAACCTTAGGAACCTTCACATCTAGCTTTGCACACCTACCTCAGCATATGAACCAGCCTACCACACTGCACATATGGATACACTGGTCATTAGCAACAATGCAGTCCCATGCAGCAGCACATTAAAATCAAACTGTGGCAATTGTTAACCACCCTTGGAATGTCGGGAGACTTTCACATTTCATCATCCTTATAATCTACAAACAGAAACATGAAGGGATGCAAGTAAGTTCAGCATTAACTCATTTGATGCACTCAAGTGCTGAGAGAATGCAGAATTTACAGTGTTAAAGAGGAAAAAGGCCATCTCTAACAATTGTAAAAATGGTTAAGAATGGTATTTAAATGTTGGTTCCCTCCTCTTCATACAAGTGGAAGAAAGTGAGGGGCTACGGTATCCACTGGGCCATAAGGTTAACCCCTTAGCACAGGCAATGAAGAACATCCAATGCCATAGATTCTGCAGGAGGAGAGATCCCAAGGGTGTACAGTATTCCTGAGCAAGATCCCAGATTTTTCTGCATCAGTCTTAATCTGATTTGTTTTAGCTACACAGTCACGTTGTTATACCTTGACATATTCAGAAATGGTCACTTTATTTCAATCCAGACAGTTCAGCATAGTACAAATGATGGCAGAAAGATCCATTTGTTCAGACTCAGCTTGCTTTTTTTGTTTTAATACTGGGGGATAAATCAAAAAAAGTAAGTAATTTTTATCATTTGTATCCTTCATTCTATTTTACTGGAGTGGAATCCCCAGGGCCTTCAGATAATCTGGGAAGACCTGACTATTCCTGTGAGGGAAGCATAGCCCTTCTGAGCTCTACTCAGAATAATGCATGATAGATTCAACGTAATTCCCAGGAAACAGCCCAGTCACTCCATTCATAACTCCCTCATACCAACCATCATCATTCTTCTTGATGACATAAATAATGGCTCCTTCCTGAAAGGACAGCTCATCTTCCTTGTCTTTTGTATAGTCATAAATTGCCACAACTAGGGGAGAAAAAAACACAATAGGATGTGAAAAAGAATAATATTCCTAGAAAGAACCAAATTAGTGAATATCTATCCTTTTCCCAACTTCTGCAGCACTCAACCATCATGACTTTCTAAACACCAACTAAAATTGATACATATTTTTCCTAAGTAATACCCAGTCCTATACAATGGAATCCTATTTTCTAGGCAGGTTAGGTTCTAAATTGAGTACAAATGGTGAAAAAACACATTTAGTCAAACTTACCCTTCAAAAGGCTATGGGAAAGTATCTCACTGAAGAGAGATACACAATCCCAGAATCAAGAAAGATGGCTATTTTTTCATTTGGGCTTGTGTTGTGTGACACATTATATTAAAAAAATGCTTTTCTTTAAACAGAATTATACTAGTGAGTTACACTATGAGAGGCAAATAAGAAATAAGACAGACTAAGAGAATGGCAGATTTATGTCTCCTTCCTCACACTTTCTGGAGCCCATGCCTATTCACCGAGTAGAAAGGTGGCTCGATGCCCAAAAGTTAAATGCATGAATGACAGGAGTCACTATATATATTCTTTCAAAACATACACTGCATTATGTCATCAATTTAATATAACAACAGCAGACTAAAAGTGGTAAGAAAACCAAGACACTTATGGTCTCCTGTGATTTTTATTGCTTAACTCACTTGGTAACAGGGCCCTTTCAACCACAAATAATCTCTGGTTCGCAAGTATTACATCTATCTCAACTCTTAAGTTACACTGGCACACCTTGCAACTTGCTCAAATCCACTTCAAGTGTTATCTTTTTGCCAATCTCTTTATCCACCCCTGTACCTTTTTTATACCACTCAGAATTTCACTCAATAAAATTTCCATCTATCCACTGTTCTAAGAAGATACACTGTCTTTGTTAGTTTCTCATGCAACTTTATGCGTCACATAAATAAATGAGAAACAGAAAACACAACAGGGACTTTGGATATTGCAACTTGCCCTAGCTAACGAAAATTTGTGTTTCTGGCCTGCTTTAGTAAAACTTAAATAGCTTTCTTAAACTGTGAATATTCTCCACTCTAGTGATATATTAAGGATGCCAGAAAGTACTTTAGATGGTCCTAGCTAGAAATAATTCAGTGTGTATTTCTCAAAGGACAATCAAACACCTAAACACAAATGTAATTAAATGATATACAAGTTTAACTATAAATATAAGAATACAAGTTACAGTATTTAGTATTTCTAGTCAACCTAATGCTTTCTAGCATTTTTTTAAGGAAAGACAATTTTTAAGGAAAGACAATATTCTTGAGCTTATAAAAACACAAACCCACTGAAAAGTAACCCAAGACAATATAAAGGCTGTTGCAATAGAAAGATGTTTAGCAGAAGTGGAAAGTTATTAAGCTTTATGTGCATCCATTTTCTCCTTTAAAATGTAGCAACAGGATGAGATAGAATTTACATTGAATATTCTAGGAACTCTGTTTATAGTGGTGTAGCACTGAGAGCTTTAACAACTGCTAAACATCTTTTGTTAAAATTAGTGACCACTATCATGATATTAACTGCTTTTTTTTTGAAATCTAAAAAAATACACTGTTAAGAATATTCATTCTCATTCCAGGAAAAGATATACACCAGTAGTTTATTTAATTCTTCACCATAAAGCTATTCATCGAAAGAAAAACAGACTTGATTTAGTGCAAGAGACTTTTATCAAGATAACTCTAAACAGGAATATATTAAATATGAGTATCTTTT